AAACGACCTGACAATACTTGACGTGCTTATAACGACGGACTTCTGCATTGAATGAAGCAGGTAACTGTTTATTCCGAGGTCTCGAAGATGTTGAACTAAACTTTTTGGAACTATCCCCGTTACTGACATTATCAGGGGCTTGATACAAACAATATTCAGGTTCCATAATCGCTTCATTTCTGCAGCTAAGGGCAGATATTTTACCATCTTTTCCTGATACTTCAGCTCCAAGTTATGATTATTAGGGATGCTAATATCAATGATGTAAGCGGTGCGATCTCGCTTATCAACAAGCACTATGTCCGGTCTGTTTATTATTATTATTATTCTTCTTCTTCTTCTTCTTCTTCTTCTTCTTCTTCTTCTTCTTCTTCTTCTTCTTCTTCTTATTTATTTTTCTGTTACATCGTTTTATTCTTTGTTTTCCTTCTTCGTTTCCTAATTCTTCAACTCATTTCATGTACGAGGAACCTTAACTCGTGCAAGACTCAACAGATATAACAGGGTCCGCCATTTCACAAGAGGCTCAGGTTTCGATAAGTTCGCAGCTATTGAATTTTGAGCTGGCGTCAAGCCAAGTATCTATCTCCGAGCCGTGGGAGGACTTTATGTCGTCAAAGGACGCGACTTCCTTCACCGGCGTCATCTCCACCACCTTCCCATTCGGAACGAAGTCGCTCTTCTTGATCAATAATTCTCTGCTGTCATTGGCTGGAACAAAACAATTTGCACGGAGCTATAGAAAATGATAGAATTTTACATGCGATAGATGGATCGTTGTCTCTCATTGTGTGTCTCATCTGTAAGCCCCTGCAATTTCTAGACTATGCAATGTGAGCTACGACGAAGTCAAAATGATCGTTTAATCGTACTGCCGAGCATAGGAAAACCTTCTTATGAGCCTTCAGACGTTGCCAAATCATCCCCGATAGAATATTTATTTTTGAAGAAATACACAATGCAGATTTTTCTTTGTAATTTTAGCGAGATTAAATCGCGAGCAAAATCGTGGCAAAAATTCAGGAAAAATATTCACAATTTTCCCAGTAAACTCGTTTTTTTTGAATGGAAGAAATGTGGCTACGTCTGAAGGCTTATACGGCGTTCTTCCATCGCGAAACAGCATACCACTTGCGCCTCTGCAGCTTCGGGGGCAAAAAGAAGACTAATATATTAAACTTTTTTAAACTTTAAAATTTGAAAAAAGAGAGAATTTTCTTAATCGAACGAATTTTAATGAACCAAATTCAGTGTTCTCAAGCTGTTCTGTTTTTACTCATACAAAAAAGGGTTTGAATGAGTCTCCTCTGATAGAACGTAATTTCTCTCGGAAATAGTGACACTTTTTGAGCCGAAGGTGCCAGCGGGCTGATCATTGAAAATGAGAGACAAGGCTACAGACAAAGAATCTATAGGGAATTTGGACCGATCCTTCTGGTTAAGATGGGTGGTTGCCATAGACTAAGGTAGAAAGTATGGACTAACGAAAGGGTATCTCGTGGGTTGCCGTCAGTTAGTCTGTTATCAACCGTCTATGTCCATTGCTTGCAACCACTTGCATTGTTCGAAACTCACCTTTGACTTTTAGGAGCCATGTGGCGCATCAAGCCCGATTTGTAGGCGCCATTGAAGTTTTTTAGGGGCCAAATTGACTTTTTGCCTATATATTACGGCACATTTAGTGAAAAATTAGACGCAAGATGTTTTCTTAACAGAACTAGTAAGTAGTTGTAACTTGGGGAAGACAAAAGCACAAATGATGAAATCGTGAAGAATAGAAAAAGCTCTCACTTGTGGTGCTGAAAATTTCGAATAATCACCTAATATGAAAATTCAGATTTTTAAGGGGCAATTTTTAGTGGCCAAGTTATAGCGCAGAGCCTTCACTTTTTAGGCGCCATGGCCGATTTCTTAGGCGCATTTGGCGCGTTGGCGCCTGTGAGTTTCGAACACTGACCACTTGCTTCCACCAATAGGACCCCCCCCCCCCCCCCCATATCTTTTTTGTCTTCTGTGTCCGTAGCTTTGTCTATCAATATCAATAATCGGCCCGCAAGAATGTTAATGGTGATTTACTCACTTGAATTTGGGGATGAAGTGTGCGTATTGGTATTCAGGATGACATTGTGCTTCTTCAGCGCGCGTGAGGCGGCGTCTCTATTGGCTGATAGGGTAGAAGTGATGCTAGGCAACCGAATATCTAAGTGAGAACCTTTTTCGGTGATGATCTAGGCACATAAAAGTAATATTTGAGATTAGAAAGATTTGGAGGATAACAAGCAGAATTCTATTCATATAAGTTGAAATTCTGTTCATATAAGTTGAAACTCTATTCATATGAATTGAAATTTTATTTATATGACTTTGATTTTCTACTCATTTGTACTCACCATTTTTAGCAGGGAGGTCTATTTCCGAAGTTATACTGTCAAATTTCACGCAAGGCTACTGCAATTATTTCTTGTTACGGTTCCATGTGAATCCCTTAATCACCACCTAAAGTTTATGAAACTTTCCCAAAGAAAGAAGTTGTGCGAGGAACAACTAGGTAAGATGCAACGAGTCATTCGTGTGAAAATAGAAAGTATTTCTCTCTTGGCTACAAATTCTTTCTTCACACTAGTTTTTAGAGCCATGTCAAATTGAAGTTGATTGAATCGATAGAAACTGACATTTTACGGAATATACTTCCAAGGTTTAGATTAGAGATATCTACCAATGAAGGCAGATTCTTTACTTTACCTACACTAAAATTTTGGTTTCAGCAGGTTCTGATATTTTCATTTTTACTGTCGACTCTCTGAAGTATTCGCGTAATTATTTCCTTCATTTCTCACCTTATTATTCATTGCGTATAACTTGGTGGTGATATCCCGAGCTACCAGCGTGGCCAACACAGTCGCCAAATAAGTCTCTTTTATAAATAAATATTCTAAGGCGGAGCGCTGCCAATACAGGTAGCGACAGGTTGTTGCAGCGACGATTGATACCTGAAAAAAACGAATTCAAGAATAGTTTCATCAATTTGAGAGTGAAACATTCCCTGTTCAGGTGAGAGATACGAAATTAATTGAATTAAATGTAGGTAGAGAGATAAGGGTCATGACCCCGTCGTTTGTAGTTTATTGACTGTTAAAATGCTGCTGTGAATATTTCATTTGAGCCTTCATTCATTATTGTTCACCTTCAATTAGTGGAATGCAACACGAACATCCATCGGGCACGAATAGTTGCATCTAGCGCCTGGATTGGATTATGGAAACTTTATCGACGATAGGCTTTGAATGATAAGTAGCTTCGCCAAGATAGGGACTCACGATCAAGATCATTTGATAACGATTGAACAATCAACACACTGGAGCTGCTATTAACTTGCGTCTTAATGTCAAAAATGACAATTTTGAGACTGTGGCAGTGCAATTAATATAGTAAATCTATGTATGAAGTCCGCTAACGAAAACGCATTTTACAATAAAAGTTTCAAGTACCAGTGCAGTTTAGATTCGGAGCAAAAACGTTTTATGAGAAAAACGTGTCCTATGTGTGATAATTAGCCCCTTAAATACAATTGCTCAATATATATAGTCAAATATTTTGGTTCCCCTACCTTTGACGCGTTTCGGCTATCCAGCCATCATCTAAAACGCGCGCTACGTGAGTGATTTGTCGTTCCTCCCACAAAAAAAGGTAACCACATCTCAATTTTGCTAAATTTTCCCTCGCAAATTGCATTTCCCCTAGGATAATCTTATAGCCATCTCTAATTCCAAATATCACTGATTATTCCTCAGATTTCATGCAGAAACAAAAAGAAATTGAACGAAAATTACCCGCGTACTTTTTTGTAAAAAGGTAATTTTTTGTCAATTTTGCAACCTTTGAATGAAGGTACGTTCCTTCGGCCGGGACACTCTTCCCGTGGTATTCAGTGTGTAGTACTTACCAGTGGGCTTGTTATTTAAATTGATAGATTAAGCGATAGACAAAGAGGACATGAGGAGTATGGAGCGATCCTATTGGTTAAAACGGGTGGTTTTTATTGACTGAAGGGGAAAATAATGGACTAACTGTAGGGTCTCCCATAGGTTGCTGTTAGTTAGTCTATTACCTACCTCCTTTGTCCATTGTAACCATCCGCTTCCACCAATAGGATCCCTCCATTGTATTTTGTCCTCTTAGTCTATAGCTTTGTCTATACATTTCAATAATCGGCACCGCTGGTCTTCTACTTTCTAAAATTTTAATCGGCTTAAATCCTTTATGTATTTGCATAGTAATCCGTTTGCACAGGAATTGACAGACTTACTTTAAATTTGTCTTCAGAGCTGGCCCTGCTTTCGAATTCAGGCGAGTCTAGAAACTCACAAGCGTTGATTGGGTGTAAGAATTGCTGGTCTTGCATCACGTTCACCTTCCCGCTTAGCAGCAAACCTAACCTGTCGGTTTTCGTCAGGTTTTGCATGGCGTACGCTTCTCCAGCGTGCAGAGACATTATCTGAGCAAACTGTTCACTTACGAGCTTTTTGAACTGAAGCCTCGTTACCTGGGGATGGAGACCAAACAGTGTATTCATAGTCCTTGGCTCAGAAATTATCAGAAGTACACACATATTTGGACTGCGTTAAGCAGAAAGGAACCAAGCGACATCAGCAATCGCCAAAAATTTGACGATTTACAGTTTTCATGAAAACGGTTGTACGGATTTTTGTGCAAATTTCAGCAGAGGCGGATCCAGAAATTTTGCAACATCGGATCTCCTTCATTTAATCCTCTGCTAAATAATCGAATCTTGTCGGAGCACCTGCCCCCTCCAGAAATCGATACATTTCCATAGGCTTAAATGGAGGGAATTCGGTGTTGCCAAATTGCTGGATCCGCCAATGAATTTCAGTGAATTTTTTGCATCGTACGAAGCAAATGCCCTAAAATGTTCAAAGGAATCCGCTCAAATGTTCTTTTGTAAAAAATTATATCGCCCGGTTAAATGGCAATATTGCTGATGTGGCTTGGTTCCTTTCTGCTAAACTCGGTTCATTCATTGAATGCCTCTTGCACTAAAATGTCCGAGTTATGTACATTTTCATATATCGATGGCCAGTGCAAAACCATATATGGACGTGTTTCTATCAAACGGAACTATGTGCATTAAGTCATGAGCCCCGAGACCCATAAGAATGCATGCATAACAGGGCTCATGTCACAATGCACATAGTTCCGTTTGATAGAAATACGTCCATATGTATCTCCATTACGGTGTTTCAAAATCCCTGCTTCTACTCTATTATTTCGGAGAGAAACATTCCAACTTCATGGAATTTTACAGGATATTCTACCAACGGAGATGAAAAATTAAGAAAATTTTCAAGATATTATACGTTGAATAGTTTTCCAAAAAACTGCGAAGTGTGACAAGAAGTCGGCACTCGGCAACTGTGCAAACGGAGATACGTGGTTTCGCATTTAGGTCGTCAATATGTTTCAATCATAATGATCGTAATTTGGTAGTGGAACTAGAATGGGGACAAACTTCATTTTGCGTCATTGGAATTTACCTGTTATATTTCATATTGTATTGGCGATGGCTAAGTATAGTTAGTTAGTATATTTTGAGACATTCAGCGTCACAGGCTATTAACGTCTTTACAGGGAATTTTGACGAGGGAGTATATACGAAAATTTAGATTTTTAAATTAAGAGGGGTGAAGAGTTTCAGAATTTTGGTAGTGATATTGGGTTCATCGCATGTAAGTGGGTTTGTATTTCTGTTGATTGTAGGGGAGTGGATCTGTGATTGGAGATATCTGAGGGCAGAGCAGTCCATAATTACGTGTTTGACGGTTAGAGGTGATAAATTACAAAAGTGACAGATCGGTTGATTTTCTTTGGAGATGATATGATTGTGAGTGAAAAAAGTGTGACCTATCCTGAGACGCGCACCTTGGACCTCACATGATCTTGTTTTGTGGTTAGATGTTTAAAACACGGATTATAATTGTATATACTTTGTTCTTCCAAAAATATTCTCTAAAAATCTCACGCAAAAACATCAGGCGATTTAATTATGAAAAAACGAATGTGAAATTTTGAAATCCCGCAATTGAGATGCGTGCTTTCAAGAGCATTCCAATGTCGCTAACCTTGCAAACCTCTACTCCCAATAAACTATGAATTCAAGACGAAAATTACCGTCGGAAAGTTTACTTTTTGCAAAGAATGTACCTAAGTTGCACAATCACAGCAACATTGAAATGCTCTTAGTTCATTTTTGCAAAATGCTATCCAATTGGTTGTTGCTGCAATAGTTTCCCACAACCTGCTATACAATGCTTCAGTGACCATGTAAGTTGGCCCGAGCACTAACTTTTCTGCACTAACAATTTTTTGTTTTAATAATTGATTTCTGGCTTGATTCGATTTCTATCAGTGTAGATGGATACGACCCGATAAAACTAGAGGAAAGGAAAGGCTAGCTGTTGTGGATGGATTTAAGAATCTTGACTAAAATTAAACTTCATAACAATGAGCGACAATTGGACTGAGTTAAGCAGGAAGGAACCAACCCACATTTTGGAAGAAATTGAGTTATGAGTGGTTTTGAACTCAACCACTGCTCTACAATCTATCGCCAAAAATTCAAAGTTTTTGTTGGAGAAAATTTTACAGAAATTGAACTTGAAGTTTATCTTTTACATTGAGTCTTATGTAGGAGCTAAACTTTAAGCCTCCTTTTCTCGGTTCAATCCCGATGTGGCTTGGTTCCTTCCTGTTTAACTCCGTCCAATTTACCTTAAATGGCTTGAAAAGAAGCTGAAATACTTCCTCCAGCTCAGGATCGAATTGCACTGGCCGCATTTGATATATAACATAAATCAGCTGGAACGCGTTAATCGATAGGAAGCAAAGATTCCAAGTGAAAACATCCGGAGCACAGACAATTTTCCACGCCCACGTTGTGAAGAACATAAAACCTGAAATAAATATTTATCATGAGTAGTAAACGAACATGAACGGATTCAAAAAGACGATCATGGTTGAATCGACTCCACGAAGTCCGCAGGATTTTTCTCTTTCTCTCGTCGTTTTCCCCCTCGAGTTTTATTCCAGAGGCCAAAGATTCTGTACCTTCGGGAAAATCCAATTTTTTTTTAAAAAAAATAAATATTTCGTAAAGACTTGTGGCGAATTTTGGTGACAGGATAGGGCTGTCTGTTCATGAATTTTCTTCTTCTTTTTCGTACCAAAAATGGAGAACCTCGTCGTCAATTGAGCCTTGAGCTTGGAATCTCAGGAGATCACTGACAGCGAGGCTCACGTAAGGCTGAAGTCTTTATTTGTCGTATTGGAAAAATAGATTTGAAAAAAAATCTTAACTCATCGGCGTAAAAAGATGAGAAATCTGTCAAAATAACAACAGTTTCTTATATATTGGCACCAAAAAGAGGGGTTAGTTGTTTCAATAGTCTGCGCTTAAAAAGTCTGCAATATTCAGATGATTAAAAACAAAAAAAAAATTCATTCAAATTAAAATCAAGTGAATGCTTTCCTTTCTTTTTTTTCTACGTTCTCTATTACGTACGGTTCAGAATCGTCGTTATCTCTCTGTATGTGAGCATCTATTCGCTCATGATTTGTTCTGAATGAAACAATGTCATCTCATCATGAAATTCTTATACTATATCATACTTAGCAGGATGACGTACCAACTATGAGAAGAGAGTGCATGAAAACGATGCCATAACGATTTGTCGGGACAGCATAGGAGACGAGAAAACAGGTGTTCGCCACTTGAAACAGCCAGTGTTGCGATTCTTGCCATACCGTACACCATCCGAGAGTCCCTTGAGAAAAAAGAAAATATTTAAAAAGCACAGTTAGGCTTCTCTACAGTGAATTTACTTTTTTGGAGAATTTTAGACTTCCCCCTCTGCGGCGGTGTGCGCGCTGAATATCGACGGTGAAACTACCAAACCACGTATCTCGGTTTGCGACGTCGCAGACTTCCTGTCGTACTTTATTTTTTAAATGGAAAACTACTTAACACCCAGTCTTGAGAATTTCTGCGATTTTTCCTCTTTGTGTGGAGAAAATTCCGTGAAAATTTCAAGGAATGATATTGATTTGGTCTACTTCAAAAAAATAAAATGTGAGCGTAGATTTTTAAACACCGCAAACGAGATACGTGGTTTGGTAGTTTCACCGTCGATATGGATTTAAAGAAATAGATGCGCTCGAGCCTCCTGATAATTTTAAATAACTTTTATTTTAAACTTAATTTTAACTTAACTATTTTAACTTAATTTTAAGTAATAATACTAAAGGTATTGAAATGTTGTACCAGAAGCATTACAATACTTTCAGATTAATGTTGGGATCATAATTAGGGGGTGGGGGAGGGATATGTCTATGGTTCCGATTTGTTTTTCCAAGTGGAATGATATGAGAGCGAACGAACTTAATTCTGTATTGCAAAATTTCGAAGTTTCACTTGACAACTTTTTTTTTTATGCGTTGACGAGTGTGTAAATATGCATCACAAATACTGAGAAATTTTCATCAACTCTCGAAGGAAATTCACAAAAAATGCGACCGATTTTGGGTAAATAATGTATAAATTTCGAGTAAATCTTTGCAACGTTGAAATATAACTAAGCCTCTTTGACTCTCACTCCTTCACGTTCATGAATCACTGAAGAACTAACAATCTAAGTGCTATTCGATGAAAACATGTTAAAACTGGGTTCGGGCAACATTTCGTCGTTTCTTTCACGAAAAAAAACGTAACCACACTTCAATGTTGCCAAATTTTCCCCGCAAATGTCATTTTTACTGGAAGAATGTTTGGGGTTCCTATCTAAAACTTTCTCTTATTCTTATACTGTCCTCATGCAAAAATCAGAAGTATTTTGGACAGTAGTTGCACAGGTAGACTTTTGTAAAAAATTCAATGGACCACTAGACAAGGTACGTATTTAAGCATTCTAATACATGTATCTTAACTAGAATTTCACGTAAAACACGATGCGCGCAACGAAAATTACTGAAACCAACTCCTAACGGAGATGTTAACATTTTTATTTCACATTGGTTACGAGGAATTTGAACTGCCCGCTCACAAGAAACTCAAAGCTCTACGTGAGTCAAATCGCGCACTACAACGGTTTCAGCAAGCTTCTTCATCGAGCAATGTTCATTTCCCACCACGTATTTTTCAAACTATAAGTAATTCGCTATAGCTGAGCCAAGTGTCAAGATTGAGGTTGCCAGATTTTTTTTATCGCAGAGACGTTCATGATAACGTTTACCTAGAGCACGATGTGAATCACGTAGACCATTGAGTTTTCATGAGCGGGTGGTTTGCATTCACGCTCAAAGAATCATGAAATTTCTTTAGAAGGAGTTGATTTCGGTAATTTTCGTTGTGCGCAGCGTGTTTTACGTGAAATTTTGGTGAAGAAACATGTATCAGAATGCTGAAATTCGTACCTTGTCTAGTGGTCCATTATCTGAGTCAATTTTGCAAACTTGGTATGGAGTTACGTTTCTTCGTCCGGGAGGCAACGATTCGGAGGTGCGATTTCCAACATGTCGTCGCCCTCCTGGCATAACGGCGTAACTGCACTCTTCAATGAACCCTATCGTCGATACAACTCAATGCTTTTCCGGGCTCATCTCAATGTGTAGTTACGCCCTTATGTCAGCCCTGAGCGACGATGTGTCTCTCCCATGGAATTCTCACAATATCATTCGAATATGTGTGATGATATGGCCTTTGCAACACGGGAAAGCACATACCAAGGGCGACGAGGATGCCTGCAGCATGACCGGAAATGAGAGAGAGAGAGACAGGTGACTCGCCCATCGGCCAATTAAACCACCCCAAATCCCTCTCTCGGCCGCCCGAGTTTTTTTATGGGCCGTTATCACTGTCCCGNGGGGGGGGGGGGGCAGAGAGGCTCTTAGGCTCTTTCGGGCTACGGGGCCCACACGAGTCATTTGATCCGTCCCATTTGATCTTGATATATTTTTTTTCTGAGTTTCCTGATTTTGCCACGTTTTTTGGATTTTCCTGATTTTTTCCCTGGTTTTGTTCATCGTTGTCCATATTTTTCCTACATATTACATTTGATCTACCATATTTCCAGACTTATATTTTTTTCCACATCATCCCAGATTTTTCTCCCATTGCCCATTACATATCGACGGTGAAACTATCAAACCACGTATCTCGTTTGCGGTGTTTAAAAATCTACGCTCACATTTTATTTTTTTGAAGTAGACCAAATCAATATCATTCCTTGAAATTTTCACGGAATTTTCTCCGCACAAAGAGGAAAAATCACAGAAATTTTCAAGACTGGATGTTAAGTAGTTTTCCGTTTAAAAAATAAAGTATGACAGGAAGTCTGCGACGTCGCAAACCGAGATACGTGGTTTGGTAGTTTCACCGTCGATATGTAAGAAATTGATGTGCTGAGAGATTTTTTCAGGTAATGTGCTGGTTACACGCTCGAATTTCCATCAATTTCCGATCAAATGGTGACTTGTGCGCACCATCTACCATCAAATTTCTGCGGCCTGCAAAAATTGGATGGTAGATGATGGAGCTATGGGGCTCATCCTCCATCTGATTTCCACACAACCGTGCTTATTTCATGCCTATTTCAATCATCAAGCTGTTTTAATTAATTTTACTCGTCAATCTAGGTAACTCTTGTCCGCCATCTTGGTCATCATTTTGATCGGAATTTGACGGAAATGTGAGCGTGTACCCAGGCCATTAGAAATCATCGAGAATAAGATACAAGAATGTACTTTGTGTGATATGTACCGAAACTTATGTAATTAGTGAAGTTGAAAGGCCCCTCTTCCCACGTCACATTGTCCGCAGCTGGTAGGACTTGAACTAGGGTCGCCCCTCGATCGTGAAGAATTCCACCCGCAGACATTTCTCCTGGAACAAAAAGAAGAACAATGAGGGATGAGTCTAGTAAAGGTGC